AAAAAAGCCCCCCCCCCCCCCCCCGTGTTGCTCCGCCTAGAAATAGGCGAAAAGGAGGGAGGAAGAGGCTAGGAACCGTTGCAGAACCTCTCACCAACAACTGAGGTATGAGGTTGAAGAAAACGATTCTGATGAGCAGCAAAGGTCCTATGACTTGGACGATGATGATGAAAACTTGCCATTCTCAAGGGAACTAAGGAACGACCAAGTCTCGAACCACTATGTTATGCCAAAAATACCAAATTATGATGGAAAAGGTGACCCAGAGAAGCACCTGAATGCTTACAAAACTCACATGAGCGTAAGGGGCGCCACCCCAACTGTGAAATGCAGAGCTTTCCACTTAATACTTAGCAGAGCAATTGAAATTTGGTATAGCAGGTTACCACTTGGGAGCATAAAAAGTTGGCCCGAATTCAAGATGACCTTCCTGAAGAGGATTACTGTGAGCAAGGAGAGAGAGGCCCCCATCCAACGTCTCTAAGACATGAGACAGGAACATGGAAAGTCCCTAAAGAGCTTCCTATCATGTTTAACCGATGAGATGATGTATTGTGTGCAAGTCATCGACCGTTAGGCATTTTTTGCATTAAGAGGAGGTCTGAAAATGAATACCATGTTCTGGAGGGACGTGCAAAATCATGACCCCACCACCTATGATGCCTTACTCGAGATGATGAGATGGGAAATCATCAATGAAGAATTGATTGAGCATAGGAACAGGACGAATAAAGGCCTTTCACCTCCTCGAAGGCAACGTGCCAGAGGGCCGACCTCCCACTTGATGGACTACCAGATGAACCAAGCTGGTAACGAGAGCTCTGGGCAAGCACTAGCCACCACCACTCTTAACGCCGTCCCTACATTAGCATATGAGGATATCAACCCAGTCACCGAAAACCAGCAGATGGGAACTCCACAAGGATCCCGTATAGGTAGAGGCCGAGGTTCAGGACCTAGAAATAGGTCGAATCAATACCCACCTGGATACTATGTATACCACCGGTCCTATGGACACGACACAGTAGATTGTCGAGACTACGCTCACCGCTCCCGAAAAGAACCCGCTAGGGACAGAAATGATTCGCCCCAGGTGAACAGGCCCTCGCCAAGGTACGATAACCGACCTGGGCATGAAGAGACCGCTCCACATCAAAGGGATGTCTCTCTACGATGAAGGAAGCGCGATGCTGAAAGGCCCAGGAAAGGGCGCTGACATCGAAGAAATCGACAAACTCAGAATGAGGCCCCTATCCACAAAGTGGATACCATTTTTGGAGGCCCTTATGTGGGCGATGAAACGCGGAACGCCAAAAGGAATTATGCCCGTGAGACCAAGCGCCCCCCACTTACCATCTATATTGTGGGCTACAGCTCCCGGAGAGATCAAGTTTTACCTATTGTCTTCACCTAGGAGGACACTGAAGGGGTTCACTACCCCTACTGCGATGCATTTGTGGTAAGAGCAGTCATAGCCCGGAATGGGCTCAAACGAATGTTCGTTGACAATGGCAGCTCCATCAACATTCTATTCGGATCTACCTTTGATAAGATGATAC